TGGTCCCATATTTGGAGTGCAGCACCCAAACATATACCCTGAAACTGTTGGAATCTGTGCAAAAAAGGGCAATTCGTCTCGTAGGTGATGCCTCGCTCACAAACTCACTTACTTCTCTGGAACACTGTAGAAAAGTTGGCGATCTGGCTCTTTTTTATAGATATTTTCATGGACGATGCTCTTCTGAAATATCAACAATTGTTCCTTCCTTGGCAGTCCCCGCGAGATTAACCCGTCGAGTTGAGGCTTCGCACACCATCGTGGTCACTTTGGAGACCTGCAGAACATCTCTTTCCAAAGACTCGTTCATCCAACGAACAGCGAGGCTCTGGAACACATTGCCAAGGGAGGTGTTCCCCGACGCATATAACCTCCAGAAATTCAAGAAGAACACCAATTCCTACCTCATATCCCTTGGTTCTCGCGATGTTCTCTGAACATTACAAGATATCCTTTTCGTGAGAACCAGAACATAAAAAAAGATCCAATACTATGAAATATTTTCAATTAGTAATAAAAATCTCTATGTAGTGTTTTTATCCAAACACTACCATTATTTTATTTTCAACTTTCTTCTTTAGTTTTCACTGAAAAAAACAGATGGTAGTTATTACCAAACGTTTAGTGAAATAGGCGCCAGTCACAACTTTCATCAAACGATACCACTAGTTACAAGTTACTTTCAGCAAGGAAGCTTTTTAAAAACGAAAAATCTTTCACAGGGTCTTTATTTACTTGCGGACAAGACAAACAACAGGCAAAGACTGAATTCAAATATATGAAATGCTACAGAATGTAAACTCATTTATGATGAGTTTGCAAAGATTACAGTTTCGTCGAAATAAGCTGGAAAGTGTCTGTAACTCACTACAACATTATATAATACTATACTATATCAAATATTACCACTACAAAATAGAATAATACTCATAGTTTAGTATTATATAATGTTGTTGTGGTATCATTTAATGAAAGTTGTGACTGGCGCCTATTTTACTAAACGTTTGCTAATAACTACTATCTTTTTTTTCAGTGATTTCTATCTATGAAAGCGTGGTTCTTTAGTTGTTTGAACCATATTATTTATTTAATCGCAAGGCGAAAAATACCATTCATATATAGTCTTCTCGGCAAACCTAAAGATAAAATTGATGCTAATGATGAAGCAGGCACCTATTTGAGAGTAGAATTGTAATTACTGTAACATGCAATATATTGGCAGACTATAGAATTTCACATAAAAAAAATAGTTGGTGTTTTGAGTACGGTCCTGAGGATATAATTATTGCTGTCCGATGGAGCATAATATATTCCGTTTCAAATGTCACAAAATAACAGGCATTTCGGAATCGGACCACACCTAATGACCAATTTATGCTAATTGATAGCCACCCACGACCGAAATGCAATTCTGTCAGATTACAGTGCAGCGGAAAAAAACACCGATGCGTGTTTTCATCGGAAAATGCGGAAATGTGGTCGGAAAAAGGGTTTTGATGGAATTATGTCCACCATCCATGATTCGATCAACTTGGCTCGCTAGGTCCTGATTTAATGATGGCGACAACACTGTAATAATTGCATCAAAGGGCTATCCTCTTCGTACCCACCACTGAATAGATACTAATGATATTATATATAATCATGATGAGAATCATTTCTTGTTACTCATATATATATTCAACCAGCAGACCTCGCAAACGTTGTTTTGCTATATACATTATTTCCATAATATATTTGAACTACAAACGTCAGTAAAGGTATAATTTTTGAGGCATGCTGTCAGTATCTGAAATGTCAGTTCATGACACTGGTGTTAGAAGTAAATCACTTTTAGCACTTGTGACAGAATTTATGCGTGTAGCTTGTACCAGGGCAGAGAGCAATATTATCTGCCGAAGTTTTCGACAAAATTTGATCTGCAATGTTCTGTTTCCTTTGTAGCGAGTCTTCTATATAACCCTCTGCTACTGTACTGGACTTCCATCCACCATGTCTTCTAATTGTAGTAAGACTAGCACCAGAGTCCGCCAACCCGCCAACAAACTAGCTGAGGAACGTCGGAAATAATGTCCAGTATATAATAAAAATTCGGCAGTTTTGGCAGGCATTTTAACCAAATGTGTTGATTCCAACTGGAGTCCAGGCACATTTATTTTTAATGCATTTTATGAAAACTCTAGAATGATTAATATCCACTGGACGAAGGGCTATGTACTTTTTGTAGTAGTCCATATACAATGTACCACTTACAACAAAGATGCGTTGCACATTAGTTTTTGTGTCTGATATATGCACAACTAGTGAAGTTTCGGAATCCTCGATATTATTTAATTTCGAATCGCACAGTTCTTCTCGACGACAGGCTCCAAAAACACCAAAAATCGCAGCAACTTTCTGAATTAGATATATTTCATCTGTGGCTTCTGCGAGAAATTTGTCGATTTGTTCTCTTGTCAATACTTTTTTGACTTTTTCGGTCGATATCCTTCACCCTTCCGCTTCAAAAAAGCCACAAGCTTGTGATATCTGCTTATGTCATGATCATTTATGTTCATCATCGACTTTAACATAGAGTAATTAGGCCAAAGCGTTGACAATTTCCATATTTTGGACTTTTCTTCAAAGTATGCACTTTTTCACTGGCCTCCTTTCCACTGACATTTTTCTGATCACACCATTTCAAGAAACGTTCGTATGAAAACTCGTACTGTCGCTTTGACTTACTAGGCAATAATTCAAAAACAGCTTTATTGGCAGCTTCTTCAATTTGCGGCGGAAGCAATTCATTTTCTTGGGCACTTTCCATCGAGGAACGAAGAAACGGGAAAGAATAATTCGTGATTTATTGGCGTTAGTTGTCAAGAAAGATAAATCAACAAATTCAGTTTTTGTTTACCTTGATGACTTGTTTCATGAATAGATTAGATTGAATTGGTTTCAAAACTGATAGTCTCGAGGCTGTTATTTAATCAATTAATAAGTAATGTGAAATAGTTATGCGTTAATTTGGACTTTTAATGGTGTTTGTAGAAAAAAAAGTGTATGATATATGTGCTAAAAGTGTTTTTTCTTTTGTTCGAAACTTCCCTTCTCACAAAATAAAATGTCACTTTTAGCACTTATATCATAAATAACTATTTTCAGTTCAATATTCATCAAGACACTATTATTATTTTATTTTCTACTTCTTTTTAGTTTCGCTATCTATAAAAGCGTGTTTCTTTAGTTTTTCAAATTACCATTTATTTCAACTTCTTTTAAGTTCACTTGAATTTCCCAATTTTCACGAAATAATTATAATACAAAACTCGTCCGCAATATTGGATCTAAACCATCTTGAATTCCCTAATTCTGACGAAGGAATCATGATTTTTGATCCCGAAAATGCTTACTTACAAATTTTGAATAGAATCGGTATATAATTACATCGTCCGTCCACCGTCTCGAATTTCCAAATCCCGCCATTTTCAAAATTTGACAAAAGGATCATAATCTCCGACCCGAAAACCCCCGGATACCAATTTTAAATAGAATCGGACCATAATTACAAAACTCATCCGATATATTTGATCCGCCATCTTGAATTTCCTAATGGTACTGGGATAAAAAGTATTCGATAACCTTCTCCTGGCTCTAAGCTACCTCCCCACCAATTTTCAGCCAAATCGATCTAGTAGTTTCGGAGCCCACTCAATACAAACAAACAAACAATTATAATATCAGTAGAGAGGATAGGACGCTGAGTAGCTGTGATTACAAATATTTCAATAGTTTTTTGAAAAATAACGTTCATCTTATGTGATACCTTGGTTGTCGACCAATGCAAAGATGTGGAATAATTTAATACCTTGTGGAAGTTTCATTTATATATGGACATCTTCGAAACAGTTCCTTTCTACAGAACAACACAAAAAAATCTTACGAGCACCACATTGTACGAAAATAAGTTTGTTACATCCTGGCTTGCGAGACCGTGATCGCAATTTTAGCGAATCTCTCATGAATTCTAGCAAATGAAGAGCACGTTTTGTCCTCAAGTTTTTACCAGGAATAGGCTGACCCAGCCTTTTGTCGTTTCAATTGGAGACTCTTTGCATTTTCTTCATCAGAGCAATCACGATCTGCTTGGTAACAATCGTTCCTGAGGTTTGTATCCTCATCTAGATAGATCATCGCATTCGCCAATGCAAATTCGAAATCTTAGTGATCCAAGATCTCTTTTCAAATTCGCTTTTCGAACAAAGTGTCACTTCCGATCCTAATAATAAAACAATATACTTTTTTTTATTAAAAACAATCATTTAAATACGATATATAAAAGTCAAAGTAAGCTAAGGTTCAGTCTGAAGGATAACGTGAAACGAATGGGGTTTACCATTTCCTGGAAAGTACTTTGTTATACCGGACTTCTTGGGGTTAGAGGGAAGGAAACACGACGACTTTTGTGGCTTATTCCTGTCCTTCCCGGGCTTGTCCAGACATTTGAAAGTTGATGTATATTTTCAACTTTATATCCTCCATAAACGACGGGTAGAACAAACAATTACAGATAGCGATATAGCCATCTCGTCGATTATTCCATTTTCATTCAATTTGTTTATCCAGTTAATAATCTCATTCAGAGTATTGAATATATCAATATACCCCCTTGAACCTCGAAATAATAACTAAAATCGAAGCAGGCCATAGATCTGCATCTCTCAGAGAGGCCAGCGAAATCATTACTGCGCATGTTAGCATACCAGATCAGTCGAATAATGCGCGAATTTTGAAAACTCATGGTCGTAAATTACATAAAAACGAGAATATGAAGATTTTGTGATCATGTCATGATCTTCTTTGGCACTGGTTAGTGATATCTTGCAGTAGCTGTATTTTTCATCGATAGATTCTGGTTCATCGATTGAGAAACTTAACCTCTACTAGTTTTTAGTCTCCATTGATTTTTCAATGATGCTATAGTACGAAATAGGTTGAGAGGAAGAGAGAAACCACTGTTATGACTACAATTTTTTTATTAAAAACAATCATTTAAATACGATATAATTATAAAAATCGAAGTAAGCTAAGGTTCAGTCTGAAGGATAAAACTGTCTTATTGCACAAGTCTCGTTCACCTTACTTTATACTATGGCAACAACCGATGGTAATGCGCCTTCCTACTCTTCTCGATAACGTAAAACGAATGCGGTTTACCATTCCCCGGAAAGTACTTTGTTATACCGGACTTCTTGGGCTTGGACGGGACGTAATACGAAGGCTTCTGCGGCTTCCTGTCCTTCCCCGGCTTGTCCAGCACGTCGTTCCAGATTTCTGGATGACGGTCCAGGTCGTTCGCCTTTGACCTGTGTTTCGAGATGATCTTCTTCAGCACTGGCAGGTTCCAGTGGTAGATCTTGGCTGGCTTGCCGTTGTTCTTGAAGCCTACCGGTAGGCTCTTGCTGTAGCTGCAAAATAAACGTGGAATGAGTTCAATAAAAGTTCATTTATACACCAAGGTTTTTTTTAAGTTCTGGTTCCCACGAAAAGGGATATTCTGTAATGTTTAGAGAACATCGTGAGAACCAAGGGAAATTGATCCCAAGAAACATACAATGTTCATAGAGGGAAACAAAAAAAATGAAATGAAATGAAATAAAATGTGCAATACAATGAAAGATAAACAATTCAATCAGAATTAATTGATGCAAGGAAATATATTTCTTCAGTTTACACTTGAATTTTGTGACGAATCTAATAGATTCTGTTGGGTAGACTATTATAAATATTTATTCCACAAGAATACAATGATTTTTTCCCGAATTGGGTTTTTATTTTGACAATTTTCAATTGTTCACTTTGTTTGGTGTGATGCTTATGGGTATCAGAATTGACATTGAAAGTAAGATTCAAATGTTTTTTCCTATTTTTAGTGAAATGAATGAAAATGCATACTTTCAATTTGAAGAGAGAGTCAATATCTAGTAGATCTCTTGGTTTGCATAGTCTAGATGTTGATTCCAGATATGGTAGTTTATAAATACATTCTTCTTCTTCTTCTTCTTCTTCTTCTTCTCTGCACTGGTGGGCGGGTGCGTAGACCCCTGCACTCAGGCCTCTTCAGTCCGGCCCATTGTGCGCCCACTTGTCCTGTGAATCAGCTGGGCATGCCGATTTCTTTGACGAAATTCAGCAGCTTCCTTAGCTGAGTCACTTTCACATCCTTTGGGTGCAGTTCAATGCTCCCAAAGGCAGCTTTCCTCTGATGCACCAGCGCGGGGCATTCAGTGAGTACCTATGTGTGATGATGTTTCATCATCCTCCAAGCACCATCTGCAGATGGGATTATCTTTGATCCCTATGAGTTCTAGGTGCCTGAGATGGTTGTGCCCAGTTAAGAGCCCAACTACCATCTTGAGATCCCTTCTATTAAGTGACAGGATCTCTCTCGTGAGCCTTTTTGAAGGTTCCTTTATATGGAGCTTTGATTGTCTCATTCCTGGTGTGTCCCACCATGTTTCAAGGAACTGCCTCTGTAGCATTTCCTTCATGAAGGACATAGCCGTACTATTGGGTATTCCCAATATCGGTTCTGGTCCAATGGGTGTCGTTCCTGAACCGATCTTGGCTAGTCTGTCTGCCTCCTCGTTCCCCGGGATACCAGAGTGTCCTGGAACCCACATGAGGCTGACTTTCCTAGTTTTTGCCATATTTTCTAAGGCACTTCTACACTCGGACACCAATTTAGTTGTGATCCTATTGGATCTCAATGCCATAATAGCAGCTTTACTGACCGAGCATATGGTGACTGGTCCACGTCCACTTCTGCCGAAATTTTCTTGGACACACGTCAGAATTGCAAACACTTCGGCCTGGAAGACTGTAGCGTATTTGCCAAGAGGTACTGAGATTCCTTTCCCTGTTCCCCCTTCATATACTCCTGCACCAGACCCACCACCAAACCTTGAACCATCCGTGAACCAGGTTGATTCGTTGGCAGGAAGCAAGCCTGGTGTATAAATACATTTTATGGCTTTATTTTGAAGAGATGTCAGAGGTTTCAAAACAGATTTTGCTGCAGTACCCCAGATCGATATCAGATATTGCAATTCAGAGTAAATCAAACTGAAATAAATTAATTTCAAGTATTCAAGAGGCATACAATACCTCAATTTGTATAATATACCAACAATGGGAGATATTTTTTTTCTGAGCAATTGAATATGCGACGACCAAGATAGAGTCTGGTCTATAGTTAAACCTAAGAGTTTGAAGTTTTTTGTAGGATTTATACAAAAATTCCGAATTTTAACGGATCTATTTGGTTATCAGGTATAACTCTTTTCGAGATGAACATAAAAGAAGATTTATCAAAATTTAGTGTCAATTTATGATCTTGCCTGGCTGGTATTGGAGCCCTGGAAGAGAGGGCGATATGGAGGGGATTATCTTCCGCGAAGACTGGACATGGAGTTGCTTTCAACAAATCGTTGATATGGAGATGAAATAGGGTTGGTTCTAGAATTGATCCTTGCGGAACTCCAGCATTTACGATAAGAGAGTCAGATGAAACTCCGTCGACCACTACATGGAGAAACCTGTTTGAGATATAAGTAGCTAGCAGAGAACAAAGATGGGGAGGCAAGCCATGAGATGGAAGCTTGGCCAGGAGTGAAGAATATCATTAAAACTCCAGATGAAGATTATATCCTTTGGTTTCGGCCGATCGGTATAAAGTCCTGTGGTTACATCATTTCTTACTACCAATAAGGTGAATAACAACTAATCACCTACTGCATAGTAATTTCGAATCAATGCATTCCTTGCACCATCTTACACATAGAATCAATTCAAGGATATTATATAGATCTGGTAACAGTGGAGCGATTCCCAGCCATCAGAACACCAACCAATCAAATTGCAAGAAGACACTGACATCACAGCTCAGTAGCGTTTGAATTCACAGGTATTGAAGTAGCATTTTCAATATTGAATGATTCATTTATCGTTCGATTTTCTCAAATATAATACCACAGGTGATAATATTTTGCCGGAAATATTTGGTGATTGTTACGACAGCTTGTTGCCTAGTAATTTCGTGAATGACATTGTAGGCGAGTAGTTTTGGATCAATGTCATGAGCGGAATTAGAGCAGCAAGTTGGAGTATGTCAAACGAGTTGTATTCCTATGACTGTTTCATGATTGAATGGGACAATATATATATATAAGAAATAGGAAACATAATTTAAGTATATTCCAATCAAACTGCGAAGAACATAATGATAGTAATGAAATACAGAATTCTTTTTTTAGGAATAAACTATACTCACTTATAGTTATTCATAAAGTGGAATGTACAATTTTGATAAACAGTATTTTTTTTTATTATCTTGGAGATGGTTGCTATCCAATTCAAACAAAATAAATTGAATTTATGTGACATGAGGGGCTCGAACCATCGACCTTCGTATCTTCGCGCAACAACCCTATCAGTTGAACTACTTCATCTGGTAATTATATCAGTAATATAACAATAAGCAGTATGTTGAAGTGAATGATCTTTCTGGCTCACTAAAGAATATTACATGTGGAGTACCGCAAGGATCAGTTCTGGGACCAATTTTATTTTTAATTTATATTAATTCAATATCAACTCTGAAATTGAAAGGAAAGTTAAAATTATTCGCGGATGATACAACATTGATTTATATATCCAAAGAGTTAAATGATATCGAACAGGATATTACAAGTGATTTGGAAAACATATCATCTTGGATGCAAATTCATAAGTTGACTCTTAATTATAACAAATCTTCATATATGTATATTTCCAAAAGATCAGTTAATATTGCGAATAATGCTATAACTTTCAACAATAGATTAATTAAATATACAGACGTGACAAAATTTTTAGGTCTCTATATCGACGAAAAATTATTATGGACTAAACATATAGACTATTTGAGAAATAGAATAAATCCGATCATAGGCATTTCATTCAAAATCCGAAATATTATTCCCATAAAATACTTGAAATGTATTTACTTTTGCCTCATTTATTCAAATTTGCAATATTTAATTTCTATTTGGGGGAGTACAAATATTTCACGTCTGAAACCACTAATGAAATTACAAAACAAATCAATTGAGTGCATTTTTCATCTACATTTTCTAGAACCAACGATAAATTTATACAAACCAAGACATTTTCTGAACCTGATTTCGTTATATAAACTTAAAATATGTTGCTTTATTCATTTTGCCAGGAATAAGTTGAAAATATCAAATTTAGCTTTCAATGAAGTCAATACAGTCTATAATTATGGGACTAGACAATTGAATTACTTGATAGCAAATACATTCAAGTCAAACATTGGCAAACAATCTGTTTCTCACAATGGAATAATTTTATACAATTCATTACCGAATGAGTTGAAAAATATACATGATGCAAGAAGGTTTAAAATCAATCTTAAAAAATACTTGCTCAGGACAATTTGAAAGAAACATATGTGGCATGATTTGATTACTTAGGAATGAAATATAACTTTAATCTTATAAGACACAATATTAATTCGTTTCCACTGAGTGGAATTCATTATAGTTAACCCTTTATTATTATTTTTTTTTATATGTATTTATGTATCCCTATCATAAACAAAAATGTTTCTTGGGGTAATAAAGACAATCAATCAATAACAATAACTTGAGTAATTGAAGAAGATTACTTTACTAAGGAATTTGAATTCTAGTATTGTTGTGTCAGACCGTCAAGAAATATGCAAACTTTTTAAATTACACATGGAATGTCTAGCCAGAATAAAATTATCTCGCCTTTCGTACAAAATGTCTCACTAACGCTAATTATAAGTAAATAAAATAAATTGGGAACTTAGGTTATTGTCTCAGATTTGAATCCAAAGCAATCTCGACCAGACACGATGTCAACATTTTATCGCTGATAAACGAGGTTTGTTGGTCACGTGTGGGTCAATTCGGCTTCTGTATTGGTAGAGCAAGTCCGATGAAATTGAATAAACAAAAAATATCGCTAGAATACAGAAGAAACCGTGAAAATGGTCGATTCTGATTGGTTCTCGAGATCAAGAGTGGAATAGTCGCTGAATATATTCATAGCATTATAGCGAAATAGGGTCAAATTTTACGATACTGGAAAGACCCATTATTCAAAATGATATAAGGATTTTTTTTCACAAATGTCTATTTATACCTGTTATGTGTGCGTTTGTCATCGATGACGTTGGGTTGGTTGACGGCGTAGTAATGGGGAATCGGCGGCAATTTGACGATGAACATGTGAGAGTCGTCGGATCTGCTGTGGTGCCTAGATTCCACTGCCAGACGCTTTCTGTGATGACTGTTGGGTCCCCTGATTTTGTGCAGCCCTATCTGGGTGAGCAGTTCGTGGTTTTTTGACGTGGATGACGATCTGGTGTCCGACAGAGATACGCAGATGATCAAGATGAGGGTCGTTAAACATTTAGACCTGGAACAAAAATAGTATAAGATAAGAATTGTTGAAGGCATGCAGGGTTAGGAAACAGTATGGGGACCCCTTAATATCTCCGAAATGACAGATGTGTTTTGAATGAAATTCAGCTTGATTCAGGAATTGTACCAGCAATGTTGCTAGATCTTCCGATTTTGCTGTATTTATACATGACAAAACTTAGTTATTTCAACTACAATACCATGGCCATTTCATGAACTGAATACTCCATAAAGAAGTGCATATACAGTTCTCAACACACTGAATGGACCACTCATAATTTGACTTTATTTCGAAGACCGTATTTTTTGAAAAAATGTACCGATCTTCATGCGATTTTCACTTATAATATCACGAAAGCTTCAATTATTTCCGAATATTTTGAAAATTCTCCCAAATCGGAAAAAATTCCCGGATATTAATTGAAGCTGAAGTGGTATTCGGCTAGAAAATTTCACACTGAAATATTATTGTAAAATTACTTGGATGATGACGGTTTTTGATGGTTTTGGCATTTGAATAGTAGGCTCAAAAGAAAAATATATTTGTTTTCATTTACGTATGTCATTCTTCATGTCAAAACTGAGGAGTAGGTATAATATTATAGTGTTAATATGAAAATGATGGTTGTTTGTGATGAAATGTAAGAACTAACGTATAGTAACAACATGTGTTTTTGTAAATTTCGAATTTGCAAATATACCTACATAATATTATAAGGTAAACTGTTGATGAATGATTTTTATTTATTGACTTGACGTGAATGTCATTCAACCTATAAACGTCAAAAAATTTCCAGTGTAATTTCATGTTCCGTCCCCCAAGGAAGAGGAAAATATGTCCAAGAAATTTGTTTAGTTGCTATGGAAACCATACGGAATACAGGCTTCAAATTGATCGAAAATGTTTGGTGTGTAATTTTCGATATCAGATGTGATATTTCACCAGCATCATTCACAAAACATGAGAACAGTTCTTTCCAATATTTAGCTCAATTGGAGTTCTAGAGAAAAAATTCAAGAAATGTAAGACTTTCGAAAAAAAAACTAATTTTTGTTCCAATGGCCAATTGAGGAGAAATCACGAAAATGCCCCGAGGTGAGGTCCCAGTGTATCATAATATGACTGACTTTTGATCAGAAAAAAAATTGGCAGCATTGGAAATGTAGACCATAGTGTAATGGTTCCACTTTACACCAAGTTTTGTTCTGCGGACTTTATACCCCTTATAAATTGATTATGGTGGAGAACCACCTACTATATTGTGTAATAGTGGAAATCCCAATTATGTCACTATGAAGGTGTGAATTGACATCACTGTACACGGTATTATCAAATTCCTAATAATATTGATATAATATTGCTAATCAAGTGTTCATTGAATCGGAGTTATTTTGAAATTCACTCGATTGAAATTACGCCAGAATATTCTTCACTGTGTACACGTGTTTCGGGCTTTCGGTCCTCATCAGTACGCTGAAAGAAAGTGCAAACGGTAGGCAGCACTTGGTATAGAAGACCAAACAACAAATAAACGGAGTCAGCAAACAAAAGCAGACCCTGAGATCACAGGGAAACAGCTAACTGTACTTATCAGAATGAATCACGCATTTATAATAAATGCGTTTTATGTTTCGTGAACGTGAAATAGTCTAGCAAAATAACACTCTGTTCTAAATATCTTCTCATAATTCGGTCGTTCATTGTGTACAGCAATACCACTCGTCCTGACGGATTCGTGGTGTTGCTTGGCAATGAACAATAAAGCGACAGAATTATCTCGAATATTCAGAACATCGTTATATTACTTATGGCAACACAAAGAACGACATTCCTTTCAATATGAATGTATTAGTTATTTGTTCTACTATAGGCAGCAGATCAACAACGAAACTCAAGAAATATACTAGTTTGATATCTTCATTAGTAGAAAATGGATTAAACAAGTTCAGATTCCCTAAGTGACATTGAGGAAGCAGTACAAAATGCATATTATTCTCTTCGTCCATCCATATTTTCATTATGTATCATCTGAATCTCTTATCATGAATGCTGGTGTTCCGCAAGGATCAATTATAGCACCAACACTATTTCTACTCCATATCAACGATTTGTTGGAAGCAACTTCATGTCCAGTACACAGCTTCGCGGATGATAGTACCCTCCATACCGTCTCCTCTTCCAGGGCTCCAATACCAGTCAGGCAAATCAGAAACGAACGAGAGAGAAATGTTGACAACATAAATATGGACTTGGCAACAATTCTTCAATGGGGATCCAATAACTGGTAGATTTCAATGCAAACAAAACACAAGTATGCCCTTTTTATAGAAAAGCCGATCTCTCTGTGCCCAACATAAGCTTGTCAGGAGTAACCATACCTTTGAAGACATCCATTTCGATGCTTAGTATTACTATCAGCAATATAATAACCTTTCTTGGGAAAATCACGTGAGATCAATTGCTGAAAGTACATCCCAAAAACTTGGTTTTCTGTTTCGGGCCAGGAGCTATTTCACTTCCAGTCAGCTGCTTATGAACTATAAGGCACATATCCGACCTGTCCTGGAATACTGTTCCCATATTTGGAGTGCAGCATCCAAACATACCCTGAAACTGTTGGATTCTGTCCAAAAAAGGGCGATTCCTCTCGTGGGTGATGCCTCGCTCACAAACTCACTCACTTCTCCAGAACACCGTAGAAAAGTTGGCGATCTGGCCCTATTCTATAGATATTTTCATGAACGATGCTCTTCTGAAATATCAACAATTGTTCCTCCCTTGGCAGTCCCCGCGAGATCAACCCGTCGAATTGGTGCTTCGCACCTCTTCGTGGTCACTTTGGATACCTGCAGGACATCTATTTCCAAAGACTCGTTCATCCAAAGAACAGCGAGGCTCTGGAACACATTGCCAAGTGAGGTGTTCCCCGAGGCATATAACCTCCAGAAATTTAAGAAGAACACCAATTCATACCTCATTTCCCTTGGTTCTCACGATGTTCTCTGAACATTACAGGATATCCCTTTTCATGAGAAACAGAACATAAAGAAAAAACAACTGCTTACGTGAAGTAAGACGTTCCAAAACTGCGAATAAATATGTCAAATTGCATGTCAAGATTAGAAAATTCTCATCACTCCACTAATGGGTAAAGTGACACTTCATAATGTTCATGAGTGTGGATGTAACTTCAATTGAAAAGTAATTCAATATTATTATTATCTCAACGTAATTCTCAAGAGAAAACCTCATATTCTCATTCTTTCCAGCGCAAAATTATGAAAGGTATATTTATCCAATCCACGCATCAAAAATGCATCAACAAGTCCATAGATCAATATCTTTGCAGTTGTCCATGTGGGATATAGCGATTAAATTCATTTATTTTTTACTCAGATAAACGCGTTACATGAATCGGGCGTGCCTAGAATGGTATCTTCTGCAACGATTAATTATGGTAAAGTGTACTTGATTCATTTAGCAATTTAATCAAGTGTGTTGTACTACACTAGAAGTATCTATTAAGTTTTCAGATAGGAGATAAAGTCGCTCGTGTTCGTCGGTGCGTGAAACTGATTTAACTTTATGTTTTCGTACCAAACACATTTAAAATAATTATACCATTGGATCCCTCGGATCAGATCTTGAGGTATTCATAACGTAGGTAATAGGTGTAATTAGATGATGAATAAAAGTAGATGGGAGTTTGACAAATTACCTTCTATTCCGAAATAGATGTGTCGCATCCACATGCAGGAATTTTCGTACTTATGATATCGTCAATAAAAAAAAATCGATAGGTGAAGAGTGGTCCATTTGGGGTTTTGGAGACCTCAAAAGTTTGTCGATTCGTTCATCAAGGAGAATCTAGTACTGCAAGTTACTTTTCAAACAAATCTCACAACTGCTAGTTGAAATATTTTACCCACAAATTGTTATTTGATGAGTCAATATGAAACAGTTCCTTTCTTTCAGAACATTCTTTTTCTTTTGGTTCAAAAAGGTTGCGCTTTAACTGCTGCAATGGCGGATCTAGTATAGAGATATACAGGGTGTATATAAATGACACCGAAAAAATTTAAGGGGAGATTCCTTGTGATATTCTAGCAAATAAAGTGTACATAAACATGTGTCCGTTTTTGAGATACAGGATGTTGTAGGTGGAAGTATTAATTGTTTTCATTTATAACCCCCCTCTATAAGTTTTCGTGGTGCCAAAATTCAGTATGGTTGACGACTGATAAAGGCCTGAAATTTCATAATGATGTTATTGAGTAATCTCAATGGAAGTCTTGCAAACACGCCTAAATTAAAATTTGGAGTCAAATCGAATTTTCATTGTTTACTCAAAAATCGAGCTAGCTACAAAAATTGCACAAAGGAAAAAAAGTTGTTCTTTCAATAGTTCAGAACTCAGAAAAACCGGCGTACAATGACATTCACCAAAATTATCGATAAATTCACCCACTGTGACGCCAATGAAAATAGTTTTTCGAATCTAATTGCACCAGAAGAAGCTCCATATCACAATCAACAAAACCACAACGTTTTATTGAAATTGATGGAGAGACAATTGAGTAATGAATAAAAAAACGATTTTTCGTGAAAATATCAACAACCTGTATCTCGAAAACGAAACAGGTTATGTTTATATGAACTCTATTTCCTAAAATATCAACCGAGTATCACCCCTTCATTTTTTTCGGTGTTATTTAGATACACCCTTTGAATTGTTAGAACTTTGGCTTATTTGTTATTGTTATAGTAATAGATGTGGCTAACAATCCAAAATAGTCAGGGCGTACACACAAGTTTATTAATTCCACAAATCATCCTCAGGCGTAATTCGTAATTGCATTTATCTAGAGAAAGTATTACATGAAACAGATCAATGGAAAAACCTAATAATAAATTTAACCGAGGGCTACAGGATTATTTCGTGTGCACAAATTTATTGGTAGATGAGGCCCCTATAATTAGAGAGACCTAGGGGT